AGAAGGAAGTAAGAAAGAACCAAGGAGTAGCAGTAGAAAGGCTGCAGAATAAGTCAGGAGCCAAGAGGAGGGGGCAAAGGAGGTGAGGGGGTGGGGGCAGAAAGGTGAGTCGAAGCAGACAACAGAACATTGCTAGAGAGCAGAAAAGGAGGCGAAATGAGACAATTTTAGAGAAGAACATTTTTTCGGTCGCCAGCCGGATTCGAACCCGGGACTTTTGAATGAGAGATGAACACCGTAACCTGTAGGCCACGAGAGCCCCCTCAGATACAGTATAGGCCTATGTCTCACGGAACGATGAAGAATAATAAGTGTCACGACGTGAAGGAATCAGGCGCTCGTCAATTTTTTTGGGCATGTGGAGTTATTGGTACATGTATCATCTTAAAGCCTGTTCATTGGCCTTCCTTTGAGAGAAAAAAATATTCATTTATCTTTGTTGAATAGAAGTTAAAATATTTGCTATTGAAGGATGCCAGGGTCGCGTGGTCTCAGAGGTAAAATTACACCGATTTCACACTTGGCTCGGTCCTTTCGGAGATGGCCGTTAAACTAGGAGGTCCCGCCTCATAAAATAACCTAATAGTGTTGATAGGGGCTTTAAACTAATACCATTTCCCCGTTTCACTTACTTGTTTACTTAGTGACTTACTTACTTACTTACTTACTTACTTACTTAGTGACTTACTTACTTACTTACTTACTTACTTACTTACTCACTTACTTACTTACTTACTTACTCACTTACTTACTCACTTACTTACTTACTTACTTACTAACTTACTTACTTACTTACTTACTTACTTACTTACTCACTTACTTACTTACTTACTTACTTACTTACTCACTTACTCACTTACTTACTCACTTACTCACTTACTTACTTACTTACTTACTTACTTACTTACTTACTTACTCACTCACTTACTTACTCACTTACTTACTTACTCACTTACTGACTGACTGACTTACTTACTTACTTACTTACTTACTTACTTACTTACTTACTTACTTACTTACTCACTTACTCACTTACTTACTCACTTACTCACTTACTTACTTACTTACTTACTTACTCACTTACTTACTCACTTACTTACTTACTCACTTACTCACTTACTTACTTACTTACTTACTCACTTACTTACTCACTTACTCACTTACTCACTTACTCACTTACTTACTTACTTACTTACTTACTTACTTACTTACTTACTCACTCACTTACTTACTCACTTACTTACTTACTCACTTACTGACTGACTGACTTACTTACTTACTTACTTACTTACTTACTTACTTACTTACTTACTTACTTACTTACTTACTTACTTACTTACTCACTTACTTACTTACTTACTTACTTACTTACTTACTTACTTACTTACTTACTTACTTACTTACTTACTTACTTACTTACTTGCCCGAACCATCCAACCCAGGTCACACAAGGGCCTCCAAGTCAGACATTGGCATTGACTCACGCCCCCCCCCCCCAAGGTCATTTCCTGCTTTGTGTGTGCGTTTGTGTGTGTGTGTGTGTGTATATGTATATATGTGTTTATGAGTGTGTGCGCACGTACGTGCGTGCGTGTTTATGTGTGTGTGTGTGTGTGTGTGTGTGTGTGTGTGTGTGTG